AAGGGAGCACTACCTCAACATACATGCTTCACTCACAAAGCTTCAACAAAAGAAAAAAATTCAAAGAACTTAGTGAAGAATGCCTTGGTGTATTTCACACAATACGTAATGAAGCAAAGCTTGTTTATTGATATCTCTGATAAGTTACAAATATGTACACATACATGAATCAAAATAAACAAACAAGATGGAGCCTTCACAAAGGTTGCTCAGGATAAGTCTCAGCAGTCTGCAGAGCTCCAGAAAGAGAAGGCACCGGAGGATGATTATTCGGAGCCTCAGTACTGGGTAGAACCCCAGAAGGAGAAGGCACCGAAGGTTGATCATTTGGAGCTTCATTACGCGGTACAACCTCAGAAGACGAAGGCAATAAATGCCTTTGGAACAAACCCACAAACCTCTGATGATCAAGTAAAATCTGACCATCAGATTCCTGCAGCTGGTCGAGATTCCTCTTCATGTTCGTAGCATAATTATGTGCGAGCCTCTGCAACTGTTTATTCTCATGCTTGAGCCATATGATCTCCTGTTTGAGACTTATCACTTCAGCCGCTAATGATTCAACTTGGCGGCTGAAGTGATAAGTCTCAAACAGGCGGGTTCGAGCAAATAGGCGTTGGGCTATATTAGACACAGAACCTGCACACTGAACACTGAGAGCCAGAGAATCCTTAACAGCCAACTCATCAGACCGTTTGGAATGTAGTATGTTATCTTTGGGAGTGAGAAAGTTCTTGGTCACCATCGCAGCGATCATATCATTCTTCATCACAGAGTCCCCAACGGTAAGAGGACCAGTAGGGGATAAGAAGAATGGGTGCCATATGTTGTCTTGAGAAGGCATGACTGCCTCTTCATCAAAGTTCAAGTCAAAATGACGGTCGGATGGGCCAGACATTCTCAGAAATGATGAAGGAGAAATGAGGTGTAATAAATCTCTGAAGTACAAAAATAAAGGGAAAATTCTTGTAGGCAATAACTCTCTGAACGTACTTCTTGCACACAATTGGTGCCCCTATAAAAGAAAGGGCAACATGGCCGTTGGTTCAAAAATCGAAGAGGCACCATTCTCTGGATTTCGAGAAGAAACTTTTCCTGAGTAAAATATGTCGACAATCCCACACGCAACATCAGCTCCTCGGGTACCACAGATAACTTTGCCAAAGATCTCTGACAAAGTTTAGACAAATAAATTTTGAAGGTCCAGCTACCCTACTATTACCCACAAGGGTAAAGGAACAGCACCACTGCTTGATAACTGGAAAGTCCCTATGTGTGTCAACCTCCGTGCTCCGTGGCAAGACAAACTGGCAAAAATGCCCAACCTTTACTCACATTCGAGAAAACACTCCCAACAAGATTGTTTGCTCAAATATCGAAGAGGTACCGCCCTCCGAATCTCGAGAGCCAAACTCCTAACAGGATTACTTGCTTAAAAATCGAAGAGGCACCGTTCTCTGAATCTCGAGAGCCAGACTCCCAACAGGATTACTTGCTCAAAAATCGAAGAGGCACCCTTCTCCGAATCTCGAGAGCCAGACTCCCAACATGATTGTTTTCTAAAAAATCGAAGAAGCACCGCTCTCCAAATCTCGAGAGTCAGACTCCCAACATGATTGCTTTCTAAAAAATTGAAGAGGCACTGTTATCCGAATCTTGAGAGCCGACATGATTGCTTGTTTGAAAACCGAAGAGGCACCGCTCTTCGAACTTCGAGAGCCAGATTTCCTTGGATAAAGCTTGTCTGCAATCTTCACACGCAACATCAGCTTTCCAGATACCATAGACCACTTTTTCAAAGTGCTCTGACAAAGTTAAAACACGTGAATCTTACAGCTCCCACTACATTGTTATGACCGAGAAGGGTAAAGGAACAACGTTACCACTCGTTTTTGGGACAATTCCTATATATGTCAACCTTCATCCTCCACAGCCAAGCAGACCTGCAAATAAAAAAAATGCTCAACTTTTCTTCACATCCGAGAGGGCACTCTCAGCAGAGTCTCTAAAATACTCAGCTTCTTTTCCCTCCGATAATACCTCTGCAAACAAGCCACACCAGAGCAAGAGTATCTCATATCATCAGGGTTAAAAGCAAGAGTATCCCATATCATGCTTTTTCCATGTCTTTTCCTTTGGCCTTGTTCTTACCTGCAAGACAAGGAGAAAGAGAGCAATCAATCATTACTTGGACTCAAGCTTCCAGTCAGGAACTGACTGCCTGGAACCCCTTGCTTGATTACTTACCTGGTATTACTCTCGAGTACTCATATTCAACATCTTATGTTTTTAGAGAAGATACCACATCTGTCTGAGGAACAGATAAGGCAAGTGAGAAAGATACAAGGAAGCATGTGAAGACAAGCGCAACAGAACACGTGCCGATACATCCATTACTTTGTCAACAACAAAAGTATCCCATATCATCGGGGTTGAACGTACTCTAGATTTGATGGATTTGTTTTGACTCTCAAATTCTTGAGTCGACCTTATACTCTGGAGGAAACTAGAAAACCCTCAAGCCCAGTTTAAGAGTAAGCCTGTGGAAAGTTACTTCTTCAAAAGCAAAAGTATCTCATATCATATCTTCTCATTTTTCTTCTCTTTATCCTTCTTGCTGCCTGCAAGATAGGGAGAATGAGAACAATCAGTCGGAACTCGAAATCAAACTTCTGATCTGAGACTGATTGCTTGGAACTTTGATTGCTTACCTTGTCTATCACCTCTTTCGGCAAATCTCCTAGCTCGGTGACTTGAGAGACTCTTACTACATGGTTTGTATCGTGCTTGACTAAGCCTGAAACTACAAGTAAGCTTCAAATCAAATTGATACATTACCTTGTGCATCTTCACCGGTTAAAGATACCATCCCTGGATGGAGGAAAAGTACTTCCAGAGAAGATGCCACATCTACATATGAGACAGATAAGGTAAGTGAAGACGATACCACATTTCAGTACTTAGAAGTTTCGTGATTACTCAGCGGCTTGGATCTTGCAAGTCCCCAACCGAAGAGCTTTCCTCACTCGGGAACTTAGGGGAGCACTGTTTGTACCATACTTGACCAATCCCGAAACTACTGAGCACCAGTCAACATTATACCGTCAAGGACCCAGAAACGTTTCCCTCTAACCAGGAGGTCAATCATAGCGCGACACATGTCGACATCAGAAGCCAATCATAGCGCGACATGTGTCAACATCAGAAGCCAATCACAACACGACACGTGTCAATGTCAAAACAAAGCTAGAAACTCTCTTCTGTAAAAGAAGATCATTCTCCCACAATATTTCCTAATGTCAATTGTACTAAATCATTCACTAGTACTCACTAAAGGATAGCTTGAACCTATATACTTGTGTAAACCCTTCACAATTAATGAGAACTCCTGTACTCCGTGGACGTAGCCAATCTGGGTGAACCACGTACATCTTGTGTTTGCTTCCCTATCTCTATCCATTTGCATACTTATCTACACTAGTGACCGGAGCAATCTAGCAAAGGTCACAAACTTAGCACTTTATGTTGTACCAAAGTCCTCATTGATTTTATGCATGAACAACTTTGATTACATTGATGCATTGACTAACATCTTTCTCCATCAAACAGAAGATTTTAGTCATTCATGTTTCATTAATTTTAACAAGAGTTTCAAATTGAATTTTCCTGCATGGTTCCCTAAATGGTGGTCAATTCACGGTCCGACAGCCAATCTCCTACCATAAGAATTTATGCAGGCCTTATCTGCCAGTTTCCAAAAGAAATTTGACAGAAGCCGATTCAACTACAGAATTACACTTCTCCCAATTTTGATGGCCAAATACAAAGTCCCATGGATTATGAAGTAAAATTATGAAGTCGAAACATGTGAAGTCTACAGAGTCAGATCATTTAAGTGGTGGGATAAATTCAACCATCAAAAGACCATCAGTTAGGTCCTCACCGAATTTTCCATTACTCCACTTCCAGTCATTCCGGCACAACCAGCACAACCATCACTGCTAGTCATCCCGAAACAATCAGTATCGGACATTAGTCCATCTTCATCCCTCAAAGGAATATTCAAGTATTCCAAATCGTTAGGCTCAAAGAAAAATAAAACCACTCAGCTTGAAGATTTAGCACAACAATTACTTGCAAAAGCAGCGATGCTCCATACTGAAGAAGAAGAAGCCACAGACTCCAAATCTTCAGACGCATTCTCACAGCAACCATCTAACTCAGCAAGCCAAAAACACATTCAGCCAAGTAGGCCAACTACCAGGATTCCCATGACCCATTTGCATAGAGTCATGTGAAAATTTTAGTCATCTTTCCAAAATCACCATGTGAAGTGTTCATGTATTATTCGCACCAATAATTCCAACAAAGCATGGAATTATTCGATCAGCCAGCACGTTCCCACCAATGATCCTGACAAAGTTTGGAGTCATTCAAACATTCATCTCATGCTTCTACAGTAAAACCAGCAATTATTCCAACAAACTTCACTATTAATCAATTGTGAAAGCAAGTCATCATTCACCAAATAGTAAGAGCAAGTCTTTCAAGACATTTTCCAAGTCTGTAAAAAGTGGACTACGGAAGAGAAAGTTTTCAAGTTTGGAATTTCCACAATTTCTTAGTAAAAGCTTTCCTTGAGTTGATAACCCAAAGAAATAAAAAATTATAAACACTTTTAATTTTCAAATGTCAAGGATGTCGGCGTGCACTAATATCCTTTTCATTAGTCATTTTCTTATTTGCTGACTCAATCGTCAGTAAACCAATTGTAAGTTCCAGTGTAAGTTTTGAAATAAAACTTATTTTCAAATTATATTTGAATCATTATTTTGAATTCATTATTTTCATTATGAGGAATATTTTTATAACAACTGATTTTGAATGGCATAAAATCTTTACTCACAGTCAGTTCATCGAATATCTCAAATTCAAGGTAAACACAGACCAATCATTTGTTCAATTCTTTTTATTTGTTTATAACAGTTGGTTTTATGACATATTTAATCATGGTTATCATCCGCATCAAATTTCCAATATATATATTAGGTTTCCAAATCATTCATTTTCCTATCTTAATCAGAAACAATATTGTATCAGAAGGAAGTCTAAAGCCTTTCCAGAAGAGCCACAAATAATTAAAGTATGATCACTCTAATAATTGTTTCGTAATCGAAACAATGTGGCTCAGCAGCACAGATTATTGGGGAAGAACTAGATGCAGCTTTTGATTCTGTTTCTGGCCATCAGAGTTTAGAAAAACCCGTTCATACGGCAGTGTTTATTCCGGCTTTCGGCACGTAATCACCGAATACTTGATTAGGTCCTTCTTGAATCCTTGGATCATCAATGGCATTACCAATGCTCCTCTTATTGTTTTTATCCCTGCTCAATTCAAATCAAGAAACACAATTATTCCGGCTTTTCGACCAAAAGATTTCAAGAAACGCAATTATATAGATGGAATAAATGAAAGCTGAGACTGTATCTGCAACCACAGATAGAAACGTGCAGAAATCAACTGATGTAGTATGAAATGTGCATCACAAAACAATTTATTGGGAAGAAACGCTAAGTTCGTACCGGTGCCTAACAGCGATGTAAAACCCTTCCATGTCAATGCCGAGCGGATAACTGCAGGCCAAAACGGGGCAACATAAGGGGACCAATCTTCCGCCTTGATGTCCTGCCATGGAAGGTTTCAGATGTTATTGCAGGTTGATGTAGAGACACTGGGTTGTTAGATCAAAAAGACTTGACATGTTTTGAAGGGATTTAGTCCAGCCAATATTTGAGCAGGAAGTCATTTCCGCAAGCCCATTTTCTCCCCATGCACATGCTCGTAATATGGATCTAGGAAAATCATTTCTATATTTGAGCAGGTAATTTACCTCGAGCGAGTGGGACTCGAGTAACTTGAGATAATCAGCAGTGGAACACCAGGCTGGAAGATAGAATGAATTGCATATCCTGTCCAGGAGATTCTTCTCATCTGGCTTCAAGGTTTTTTCAGAAGCACCAAGATCCCTGTGGCACCATGTGACTATAATTATTGTTGCTCCTGGTGCAGCAACTCGAACCAACTCATTCACAAACTGCACAGTTTTAAAAAGAGAGCAAAGAGAATATTAGGGCAAGTATTTATACAAAGAGTTTAACAGTCTTTCTACGTTGCAGTTAACTATACTTGCGGACAAAGTACGATGACATATCATGCAATCGTATTTACCACATATTGACAATTGTAAATTGACATTATCAACAATATTAAAGACATCGATAGCATATTTGACTACATATCAATGCATGCCCGCATTCAAAAAGTGCAATTAACAGCGGCGTATAAATTTTACGAATCTTGCCCTATTATCAAACCGGTCCAGTGGAAAGAGGTATGACCTTGGCTTTGTCAGGCATGTGCTCACCACTCTCCATGGACCATACCAGATCAAATTCCCCGTCAGGAAATGGTTGGTCCAGAGCATCTGCAACTTGAAACGAAGCCTGCAAATGATGAACAGAAGTTATCTTCATTTAATTGAGTCATGGAACATGTTACATCTCTATCATCAACCAAAGCTTACATTGGGACCCGTTCACATAATTGAGTCAGGGAAAAAGATGCTTTCAGTTTGATGGTGAATCATAAATTCAATTCGAGTCTTGTAATACAGATATGGTGCAACTGTTAAACTGAAGAATTCGTGGGTACCTACTCACATAAATGGGTCCCATATATGGATCCAAAATATAATTATCCGTTCTCCTAGACCCCATAGTCTAAGGAAAGTGTGGTAATCGTCCGTACGAATTTAATCCAAACGGTTTGTGTTTATTTACCTTTTGATGTTGTACTTTATCCTCTACTGTTGAATTATCGAACAGTCATTGCCCATAATTTTTTTGACCATAGGGTTTTGGAGACCGGAGCTCTGATAAATGAACAGGTTTTATTTGGGGACTACTTTTGGAAGAGCAAAAGGCTGCTTTCTCTTTTTGGCAAGGATCTTAAAATTACTGTTTAATAATTAAGGGCTCATTTATATGTGCTTTTAAAATAATTAAAAGCGTTTTTAGAGAAAAATTTTTTAGATTCCAAAAGCACTTGAAGTGCTTTCTGCAAGAAGAATCAGTTATGTGCTAGCACGTTAAATACCTTTTCAGAATTTATTTACATTTTTACTAAGGATTTGTTTTAAAAACATTTTGAATTATTTTAAAAAGCACGTCCAACCAAGTAATAAAAAGTTACAGCGTGCCTCTCACAAAAGAAGTTCTAACAAAAGCACTGTCCAGCAGAAGTGCTTCCTACAAAAACAGTGTTCCAATTAATCGGATTCCGGCTTAACCAAACGATAAGGTGGGGATTACCTGATTGGCTAACCCTTGGGCAGCAGCAAGAGCATTGGCCCTTTCAGCCTGCACAGGGCTGAGGGTGATGCCTTTGGCATTGGCCCCATATTTACTAGCCAGATATCTGGAGCTCCCTCCGATCCCACATCCCACATCCACCAAATTCTTAGGAAGTCTAGTTGGGGGCTCCTCTGCAAAAACCAATTACAAATTTAAATTACACTATTACCCGAAAACTATCATTAATTAATCAAATCACCCACAATAAAAAGATAAGATAGAAGGAGAGTGACCAGAAATGCCGGCGAATCGGAGGACCTCGTCGATCATGCGAATCTGGGCGGCGCGATGGTCGGGAATGGAGACCGAAACGTCGGCGTCTGGGTCGTAGTATCCGTGGTGCATGTGGTCGCCCCAGATGTTCTCCCACAAGCCAGACGACTCGTCGTACAGCTCAGCAATCCCCTTCTTCAGCTCCACTGCCTCCATCGCTGCCGTCTCCGCCACCGCGTTCAGTCTCCTCAATCCTCTGTTCCTGGAGTTCGCTCCGACCACGACTGTACTCGCACGATTGAGACGGTAGCACATGCGAGGCAGCACTGCTCGTGTCGTCGTCGACGATGATAATCCAGCCGTCTGGTACGACACGCATGCCATCGGGACTAAACAGAACAAATTATTAAAACTCACAGATCAAAAATTCAAATCCAAAAAATATAAGAAAAACCCAACAGAGTGAATTGTTTGTGGCAGAAACCACCTTGAAGATTTTAATTAGCAAATCAGTCCTCTGTTATATGGTTTTGCGACGCTGCAGCTCTACCAGCAGAAGCTCGATGAGGGAGAGAGAGTGAGAGAGCGGATGATAACGAGGGATTTGGAAAGTTGGTGGCTCTTGAGAAACCATGTCGGGATAAAATAGTGACGATGACGACATCGATGCGATTTTGGTTTTAAATTGCACACAAAATTATTTTGATAAAAAATCATAAGTCGACTGTGTTGACAAAAAATGTTTCATTTTAGTAATGTTGAGACTCTTTAAAAGTGTGATCATGGAATTTCCCCTACCTTACGTTTTTTTGGCACAATTTATGTATTAACATTATAAAACATTGGTCGTGCTAAAAACATGAAATTGTGAATGATTCCTAGAAAATCTTACTTTGAGAGACTCGTATTTATATTCTTTTTGGCTTTTTAACCAAAATAGTCTCTGAAATTTGCATAACACAACACTTCAGTCTATGAGATTGAAAATCAATAGAAATGGTCATTGAGATTGTCCACCATCTATTATTTTGATCATTTCGTTAAAAACTCTATTAAGTAATTCCGGAGAAACTGAAATTTTTTGCTGGAAGTTTGGGCAATTTTCAAAGTTTCATAACTCAATCGTTTCTTAACCAAATTCGACCCATAATATATCAAAATGAATATATAAAAGTGTTGAACAAGATTATACCTATTTGGAAGCCCAATGGTTGCCAGAGATGGCCGGAAAATAGCCTAAAGGGTGACTGGTCCGTGGGAAAACTGGAAAACGCATCGGAAACTGGATAAACTTTAAACGTTCATAACTTTTTCAATACTCAATGAAATCGAGTGATTAAAAAACGTCTTGAAAGTGGCTAACTTGATGAGACTAAGACAATCACTTTCGAGCCGTTTTCCAGCCAAACCACGGCGAGTTAGCCGTCGAGAAAGCTATCATTCTCTTCGTATCGTCGAGAATTACGATTTTTTGTTTGAAATCAATCAATTTCGTTGAGTATTGAAGAAATTATGAACGTTTAAATTTTACCCAATTTTCGACGAGTTTTCAGTTTTTCCGCGGACCAGTCACATTTTAGGATATTTTCCAACCAAACCACAGTGTGTTAGCCCTCAAGAAGGGTACCATTCTCTTCGTCTCGTTGAAAAGTATGATTTTTGTTTTTGAAGCACTTGAATTTTTTGCATAATATCAATTTACCAGTCTTACAACAATTAGCTTCTTTGATTGTAACCTTCAGAAGGAAGCATCTTTAACTCACCTGATGGTCTCATATCCAATCCGATAAGAGTTCTATAAATTTTAATTAGTTTTGTTTACATGACACAAATTTGACATCACATCAGTAAAAATATCAGACATGTAATTTACACATTATCAAATAACAGTCATATTAATAGATTAATTAGATCTGACATTACAACGAATTCGTAAATGAATGTATGACATTATTATGTTCAAAACATGAAAGAAAAAAAAATCCTCCTTCCTAAATTAGTATAGGTGGGATAGAAAGGTTGAGCGGGTATGATTTTGTTATTTAACCCAAAATTAGGATGGTCAAATGTAATTTACTAAAAATGATAAGAAGTGAGGCGAGCTCCAATAAGCAAAAGGAGTGTCATTGCTGTCAAACAGTTAGGAGCAGAGCTACTTGAGCAGCTCTCATTCTCTTCAATCATGGATCTGGATCATCTTCTACACCTCCTAATTCCCTCATGGACCTCTGTAAGTACCCCTCTCTTAATCCATCTCACCATTCCCCTTAATCCCCACTTACGCTAATTAATTATTAATTTAATCAATTTCTTGATCCGTAATATTCAGGTTGCTATCCTGGCATTGTTCTTCACTTACTTGGCCATTGCTGGATCTTTACTGCCCGGAAAACTTGTCCCCGGAGCCACCCTACCGGATGGCTCTCGGCTTCATTATCGATGCAATGGTGTGTTTTTTGAATGCATCCTTACTCGTGCACATTACCTGTTTGTTTAAATGCTTGTATGAAGCTGGTGTGCCTTTGTTTGGAGAGTTTGATGTGTTTTAAACTTGTATTTATTTATTTGTAAGGTCTGCTATCACTTCTGTGGCTGGTTGGGCTTCTTGGGGTCGGCGCTAAGATGGATATCGTATCGCTTACTGTATGTGGTCACTCCTACTTCAATGTGGTTTTTTCGGATTGTTAATTTCGTTGTACTGACCATTTGTGTTGATGCTGTGGTGATTTGGTTTTTGTTCTTGAGGTTCTACTTAATGGCTTGTTCATATTTACATCCAACAAGAACAACAACAACAACAAAGCCTTATCCCACTAAGTCAGCTGTATGAATCCAAGAAAGCCACTGCGCTCAGTTTAACTCCAATTTTTGTTCACATATGTTGTGAAATTACACTTGCAATCGATCATGTTGTGGAATTGAAGATGATTTCACAACCCACATATTGGAAATTTTTTTAATGATATAAACTGTTATTTAAGACAAATCAATTAAGCAACCCAAATGGGGTTGATGCATACTGGGAAGTAGAAGTTTTTTTCCATATGCATCTAAATTCATCCATTCTCTAAACTTATGAAAATCAATCCATCATAATACATAGTTTAGCTGCTTTCATTGTTACATCTCTCTTCTCTCTCTTCTCTCTCTCTCTCTCTCTCTCTCTCTCTCTCTCTCTCTCTCTCTCTCTCTCTCTCTCTCTTTCTCTCTCTCAAAGTTGTGCAAATAAACTTTTGGAGATTATAGTTGCCAAATTTTTGTTATTAGTGTCGCTCCAATTTCGAATGAGTGTATTAACATCATAAGACTGTTTGCAGGCAATATCAGATAGAGGACTCGAGCTGTTGTCAACAACTTTTCTGTTTAGTGTTCTGGTAAGATAGGGAATCTATTCACATAGTTTTCTATGTTCCAGTTATAGCATTTGAAATGGACAGTAATGTCACAGATGGTAAAGTGTGTGCATAACTCTTGGTATGATTGTTTAAGATAAAACTATCTTTCTATCAACTCAGACGAACGTTATGAGTTAAAAAGCGAGCCTATCAATGTTTCTGGTTTGCTCTCATGCGGAAGAGATTCCATATTGGCATTGCCACAACCTCATTGTAACTGGGAGAGTGTTCACTTTGAAAGACCAAAGATAAGCCAAAACTTCATTATGAAATTAATTGGATGGGAGAATAATTACGTCATTCTGGCATGCAAAGATATATGGATAAAAAATATCAGCTTTCAAGTAGTGTTTCATATTAATGTATGCTGCATTTACCTTTTATGGGACCCCACATGGTAAAGAATAAAATCACTTGTTCACATTAACTTTTATTTAACCATATCTTCCATTTTCAGTGGATGAGTAGTAGATCATTATTGTTAGGTTTTCTTCTCTTATCAATACTTATGTTAATTGATATGCCTTTGTTTCTTTTAAATGTGTATTATGTTAGGTCACAATGGTACTTTACGCTGCGGGCTGCAAGTCGACCAACCGGGGTTCTTCCCTGAAGCCTCATGTCACAGGGAACCTTCTTGAGGACTGGTAGTTTAAACATATTGTCCAACTCATTCCAAGTGATCTCCATTGGGTGAAATGGTTTATATTCATATACGATATACCAACTGGTAAAATTTGTTTATAAATATAAGAAAAAAACATGTATATAGTGGTTTTTCTAAAAAAATTGTTTTTGCCTCCCTTATGAGAATATTTCCATTTTCTCAATTAGATGAAAATGTATAAAGAAAGTGTTAGAAGCGGATTTATAGAGGGTTTTTAATACTGATACCGTGAAACCTGTCTTATCATTCCTATCCTGGAGTCTCTGCCATCTGCATGATTAAACAACCTGAAAATTCCTCTGTTCTGAAATTCACATATTTTAATTATTTAAAAGGGTTTTGATTCAAAAGCAGATTTGTCGAATAATCTTTTGACCGCCGAAAAGAATCCCTGTGTTGTGGTTTAGAACAAACAGAAATAGATTACTATCTTGATTATTTTTGTCTTCACTGCTTCATCATCTGCAATGTGATGCTTGACTACTCTTTCTTTTATTGTCTTAAAATTGAAGTGTGCATTTTCTGTATTTTACTTCAAATCCTTGTCAAATGCATCTTCCAGTTAATTGATATGGACACTCTTACTATGTTTAATAGGTGGTTTGGAATACAGCTTAATCCGCAGTTTATGGGCATTGACCTCAAGTACGTAATCCAGTCTTCAAATATTCATGACATGTTCTAACACACACCCATAAAGTTAGTATACTACTATGGTCATAACAATCTCTTTTTGTTAATGTCTTAATAATTACTTTTGATTTCAAACCTTTATTATCTTTCTTACCTGAAATTTTCCCCTGCCCCTTCTGTACAACAGTTCCCCATCTCTTACTGCAGTCTGAGTTTGACTACTTTCCTTTTCTATATTTCTTCCATGTTTCCTCTTATTTTTGGCCAGAGCTTGGTCCTCATAATTTTACCATTTCCTCGGATTGCTATTACATTTTATACCTACTTGCATAACTGAGACAAAATTAGCCTGATATTAATGAGATATATATATATATAACAAAGAGAGATTCTCTTTTGCAGATTTTTCTTTGTTAGAGCTGGAATGATGGGCTGGCTATTTATCAACCTTTCGGTTCTCGCCAGAAGTGTTCAAGATGGTACCTTGAGTCAATCAATGTTCCTCTTCCAGTTGTTTTGTGCGGTAATCTGGGACCTTACATTATTTATGTATATTGTTTCTCTACACGTTTTAATATGAGGTGCGTACAAAATTATCATGTGGGCATCATCACCCATACTATGATAGGAAATTAAGCACGCAACCCTTGTCCTCCACTTGCACATTTCTCCTTCCTGCTGTGTGTGTGTGCACATGTTATTACAGATGTATGTTCGCATTTGTATATGTATAAATATTCTTTACTTGTTGCAAGTGATTGCTGAAGATTCTGTCATTTTCTCTCTTTTATTTTTCAGTTATACATCTTGGACTACTTTGTTCATGAGGAGTACATGACCTCCACGTAAGAAAATTACCATAACGTCTAGCTGAATAATCCTATTTAGTTTTATCCTGTGCCACTGTTTTCTTTTGCCACTATCAAATATCTTTTCACAATATGCTTCCCCTAGCAGAATCTGCCTCATACACATTCTCTGAAAATAAGCCTGAGACACAATTCTGATTGTATCTTTTGTCATTTCCGGATTGCTTGATTTTGCCATTTATTTTGTTTGTTCCTATGTACTTCTAGTTGTATGTTCATTTTTATTTTTTATCTTTGGACAGTGAGGAAAGAATTCATTATGTTTGTTCAGCTATATTTCTTCATGCTTCCCTTTCATTGTCTTTTTGATGATTGAGCAACTTGTCAATTTGAGGCCATTATATGTTTTGTCTTTTCATATTCGATTTATTTTTACATGGTTTGCCCTTTACAGATGGGACATAATCGCAGAGAGACTGGGCTTCATGCTGGTATTTGGAGATCTAGTCTGGATTCCGTTCACTTTCAGCATCCAGGCATGTAGCCTGAACTAGAGCTTAGATAGCTCAACTGGTTTTTTGCACCCAGACACATTTTTGTGCACACTAAAGACTTGATTTCTGGTGCTTCCATACACTTCGGTTGAGAACTCAGTTTTTCTATTGTCAGCACTGTAAAAGATAAATCATATTTGGTAGCAAAACCAAAACCGTTGGCCGTTATATTCTTCATTGTTGTTAATATCTGCATTGTCATTTCCTTTGGTAAAGGGATGGTGGCTTCTGAGCAATAAGGTGGAGTTAGGAACAGCGGCTGTCGTAGCAAATTGCTTGACATTTCTGATTGGGTAATCTTCCCCTTGTAGTTGGGGTTTGAAGCTTTATAACATAATTACTCTTTGTGCATTTGCCAACATTAAACTTTTCATTTCCATACTGGTCAGGTACCTTGTATTCAGAGGAGCCAACAAGCAAAAGCACGTCTTTAAGAAGAATCCCAAAGCACCCATATGGGGTAAGCCCTGTAGGGTCATTGGGGGAAAGTTGCTTGCTTCTGGTTATTGGTAAGGTTCCATCAATCACATTCTTTATCTTCCTTTCTTTTTCTCATCATTATTGTCAACCGTCTTCTGATCTCTACATATATAAACTGATAAAAGTAAACAAAATCGTAACTGGACGAACATCACCATGCGAAGATATTATTTTGGACAATGTCGAATCAATTCTGGTACTTCTAGAGGTACAAGGAAATAGTGATGAGAAGAAAGAAAGAAAAAAAAAAAATGATACATTGACTTGAACACGAAGTTCATCATCCACATTCTGATTCTTTTGGTGCAGGGGAATTGCAAGACACTGTAATTACCTCGGGGACTTGTTACTTGCACTGTCTCTCAGCTTACCTTGCGGGATAAGGTAGTTTCGCTATTCCTGCAAAAATGCTCCTACAAGTTCCTTACAAAACAATTCTCCATTTGATATGCCGTTCCACTTTGCAGTTCCCCAGTTCCATACTTCTATCCAATTTATCTTCTTATTCTGCTCATATGGAGAGAAAGACGAGACGAAGCTCGTTGTGCTGAGAAGTACAGAGAGATCTGGGCCGAATACTGCCGGCTTGTTCCATGGAGAATATTACCTTATGTTTATTAAGCTTCCTGACTCTGCACTTGTTAACTCTCATCAAGTTTAACTTTGCAGTGGAGCTCATACTTTCTTGTTTGTACTATAAAAATGCACTTCATCGTGTCTGTTGAGTTATTTCAGAAAAATCATCGTGACTGTTGAGTTATTTCAGAAAAACGTAGTGCGTCCTTTTTGACGAAGTACCTGCACATTTAACTATCTTTGTGAGTTTCGGGAATATCCCATTCATAGGTCGAGATCCACATCTGTGAACTGAAAGGTTTGAATTAACTCTGTAAGTAAGAATATCACTAGACTAAAAGTAAGCCGATACGTTCGTTGTTCATGTCAGTTGAAGGAAAACTAAACGCGGGCGTATTCCATCCACGATTTGGGCCTTTTTTTAAGAAAGTGCTAATTTATTTTCCTCATTGTTTTGAGGTAATAGGTATAAGAAACTGGTTAACATCAAGATTCTAATGTGGGCTTGACTTGGGCTATTTGGCCCACAATTATTACGTGTCTTTTGGTTTTTAACAGATCGATAATAAGACTACTTTAATCGCCGGAAGAATTCAAACTCAGATGTAAGAGAATGTACTTTTCTGATCGACTGACTTAACGTATGTTTGCATGTTTTTTTAAGACTAGTCCATGCATAATTGAGATAAGGCTTAGCTTTTACCTTTGGGGAGTAATGATATGATATGCCCTTATATTTAATCATATAATCTAATACAAATTTAATAATAATACAAGTGTCGTGTTAAAAATTAGATTTAATATATTTAATGGAGGTGCAAATGTGGCCCTAACCAAACGAAAAATGGTCACCTAAAAGTCAATGAGCCATAACCTAGTAAGAAGAGAAGGGTATTTTATAATGGTTGTAGGGTTGCTTGGTAGTTGAGAAAGCAAATCCACACACCCACAGAATAACTAAAGAGCGGTGGTGGTAGGGTGTTCTCCCTTTTCTCATCCTTTTGTCATCATTATCTATCTTTTAATATTTTATTCTTTATACGTATTGAGTAATTTTTTCTTAACCGTAATAACGGTTTGTTAGCCTCTCTTGTTGGGCCCATACACATTGGATTTGTTTTTACAAACGATAGTATTAATTGGTTAAATTGTTAAATATTATAGGAAAGTTGATAGGTGGGAATTGACATTCACTACAGTGCATAGACATTATTGCTTTTCGCTACTGTGATAAAGTATCATCTATACGTCGGATTTGATTCTCATAAATTGGAACCAAACTCACTAAGAAAATCAAAATATCAAGTCCAATGACTCATATAACTATTAAACTCACCATATTTATCACAAAGTTATAAAAACTACACTCACATAGTCTGATTCCTATATACGAGAATCAAATTCACATAAAAAACGAAAGACCTTTACTCATTAAGTTAAAAACAAAATAAAAGGATACACATATTAAACGTGATTTGTCTGTAAAAACGATTCTACTTTAAGACAACCAAGCATCTTCCAAGTAAAAAAGGGAGGAGGGAATCGGATGCTTCTTTCTGTCAACCTCTTCTGGCCAATATTATGCATTAAGGCTGTGAAAGGGCATGCATGTAAATTAACACCAAGGCGGGGATGGGGGATGACGTAATGATGAGGTACCAAACAACCCGTGAATGTGATGACGTTTCATTGGAAAAGTGGTCCCCTTCAATAAAACAAGGGAAAAGAGGAGGAAGATATTGTGTTGTGGACCCAGTCGATGCCTAATTGTCCTTGGCTGGGACCTACGCAAATAGAGAGAGAGAGAGTGTGTGTTGTGGACCCAATCGATGCCTAATTGTCCTTGGCTGGGACCATATAGAGAGAGAGAGAGAGAGAGAGAGTGTGTGTGTGTTGTGGACTCAGTCGGTGCCTAATTGTCCTTGGCTGGGACCTACGCAAATAGAGAGAGAGAGAGAGAGAGAGTTGCTTACAGTTGTGTACATTATTATTTTTTATTGTTTCCAATTTTTGGAAAACTTGGAAAATAATTTTTTGTGCTATCCTCAATTGATGATGGTGATGTTCATGTTATATTTATTATAATTATAAATTTTAAGATTTGTGTAATGAATAAATACAAATTTTGAAATTTAAACTCATAAAAATAATAATAAGTAAGATGGTAAGTTATATCTTCCTCAACGTGTGTCCACCTAAACCAGGTGAAGGTAACTATAACCAGTTTGGAAGTGAATTTATGAAGGCCCTAATCACTTCTAGACAAAATGACAAGAGAGATACTTCTTCATAAAATCACTTAAAAATTACTTTTAATCAATTTTATCTAGAAGCAGGTGATTTTATCGAGAAGGACATCAAAAGTGCTTCTTCTCATGAGTCATAAGTGACTATGACTCTCCCAAAATCACTTTCAAATGAGTCATACATTAAAAGAGTTATCGAACTATTTTATTACAATATCTTGTACAAAAAGTACCTTATAACATAGGCTGAGATTCATAGTTGTTGATTCTTTAACCATAAGTCATAGGTCCCAATCTATATAATGAGTCGGTCCATACTTGACAAACTTCGTCTTATAATGTAGGAAACCTAAACCTTCTGAAATCATTTAAGGCACCTCTTAGTGTGAGTTACCTTAAGGTCAAACATTAAAAAATTGGTTACATGATGAAAAAGTACCAAGATGATCCTTAAATCACATCTGTTCATCGTACATCGTGCGGTCATAAATCATTGTAAATTTTTTATTTAAAATTGAATATAAATAGTACCTGAGAAAAAATAATCGCACGATGTACGATGAACGAATGTGATTAGAGGATCCCTGGAATCCTCACAAAGAAGATCCAGCGAGGATCCTCACTCTTAGTAGGTCTCTGAGCACCTCTAGTATGCTTTATATTGATGGGTCCCACTTTACCTCTCTTTTTAGGTGTCACCTCTAGAGCTCTTTCACATCTTAAGCATTTTGTATTTAAAGAGAAATTATTGCGTACGACCATTAAAGTATTAAACAACCTCACAAGAGATGGGCCCTACTTGTAGTCCTTAGTTTGGGCACACCTCGATTGTGCTATCGTATATACAGACATATAGATGCAAGAATTTCTTTTTTTTTTTTTTGCACTTCAAAAACATGATTTGTGGTTCTCTTTCAATAATTATAATAGTAAACTATGTATGATTAGGGTTTATGGTTAATGTACTAAACAACTGCACAAGAAATGGGCCCCTACTTGTAGTCCTCAGTTCAGGCACACCTCGATTGTGCTACCGTATACACAGATAGATGGATACAAGAATTTCTCTTTTTTCCAACTTCGAAAACATAATCGGCGGTTCTCTTTCAATAGTTATAACAGTAAACTATGCATGAATAGGATTTAGGGTTATGTACTAAACAACCTTAGAAGAAATGCGCCCCTACTTGTAGTCCTCAATTCGGGCACACCTGGATTGTGCTATTGTATACATAGATAGCTGAATGCAAGAATTTCTTATTTTTCCGACTTAAAAAACATGATTGGTGGTTCTCTTTCAATAATTATAACTGTAAACTATGCATGAATAGGGTTTAGGGTTAATGAACTAAACAACCTCAGAAGAAATGGGCCCCTCCTTGTAGTACTCAGTTTAGGCACACCTGGATTGTGTTATCGTATTCACGACAGCTGAATGCAAGAATTTCTCATTTTTCGGACTTCAAAAACATGATTAGTGGTTCTCTTTCAATAATTATAACAATAAACTATGCATGATTAGGGTTGTCTTTTACAGCAAAGAAAGAAGGTATTGATTTCATCACATTCAGAATGCGTGATTCATCATCTACCATTCAATAAAGGTTTTCCACCGATTCCACGCACTTCACATGCAGATGGTGATGTAGTTTGCAGTAAGCAACTACACTCACTTTTAGATAGACGGACGTTTAAAGCATCTTCTTTTCATACAGCGGTCTTACCAATTTGTATTTTGAATGTTTGATCATCAAATTCGATACTGATTAATGCCCTAATCTAATATTTAATACAAAATTAATAACCCTAATCCAATTTGTTTTGGCTTTGAAGCTGGACAAATGTACGTGCATGCGGACTTGTCGATCTTGCCTGGTTATATACTGATGTGCCACGAATCTCATTTATCTTGAGCGACACAGATCATACAGGGTTATATACTTGTTATTCTTAGCAGGGATTTCACTGTAATGTTCATGGAGCGGGATATCGTAATGCCATCATACTTTCCTTTATGTCAATTTTTTGGTTGTATGATGTATGCGATGCTATGGAGACAACACATGGTCGTCCTACATACATTACGAAGATACTCAATCCCGTTCTGTGAACAGTGGAGCGGGATCTCTATTAAAAGGAGAGGGAGAGAGAGAGGGGGCACCTAAAGCTAAAGGCAATGTGATGAATCATGGGTAGGTAGGGGTACTTGTCAAACTTTGCGTTGCGTATGGTTAGCTTATTATTTGCCATCTCTTTTTCCAATAAGCGTTAAAGCAAGAGAGATACTAATTCATTTGTGAATGGACAGTGGATGTATGAACAATCTCTCACCAACCCAAAACTCGGTCAACCGACCTAATAAAAATGTACACAAATCGAGATGAGAGAGAGAGAGAGAGAGACAGACATGAAGAACGAAAAAAGAGAGTGAGAGACATGAGGAACGAAAAAAGTGAGAGTGAAGAATTAATAAGTGGGAGGGATGCACATCGTCTTGCCGCGTTCAACGATAAGCTGACTTTGAAATGAGTGGATGAATGTCACTAAAGTCAACTTATCGTTGGAATATTTGTCTTACTTATTTTAAAGCCAAATTTAACGTTGTGTGTGCGCGATACGAGATGCATTACCATTTACCAGCATTCATCCCACAAACGCATTGCAACATTTCACAAAAACACAAAAGTACAAGGCCCAATGTATAATGTATACAAAAGTCAGGCCACAGAATTCTAATTTTTACAAGTAATTCTCTATTTTGTTGAGAAAGATAAAAAAGCTTCATGAAGGGCGATTCATTTGGGATCATCCATTTGCTTAATTTAGGACCATCAAGGAAAAATCTTACAAGGAATTCCCTATTTTGCCCTTTACATGAAACAAAGAAAAACAAAACTTCAAAAACTCATTGTCACTCCCTCATCTAACTACACTACAAAATTCATCCCACTTCCTTACATCATTAGCCCTTC